ATTACATTTTTTTAAACACCATTGATGAGAAACTATTTTAAAATAATTGTTTCCTGAAAACCGGTGTACCTTTAATTTTTGTCGAAAAAGAATTTATATAAAAAACCTTTATCACTATTTATCACTGATAAAGACAATATAATTTAAATCTATAAAAAGATACAAGTGATAACGATAAAAAGACAGTTTAAATATTTGATTTATTGCAGTTTTTCTTCAATACATTTTATTTTAAATAGTTGTGAACTATAAATTAGTATTACATTTTTTTTTTAAACACCATTGACGAGAAACTATTTTAAAATAATTGTTTCCTGAAAACCGGTGTGGCTTTAATTTCTGTCAAAAAAGAATCCATATAAAAAACGTTTATGACTATTTAACGCTGATGAGGAAAGTATAAATGAAATCAATAAAAAGATACTAGAAATAGCAATCAAAAGACTGTTTAAGTATTTGATTAATTGCAATTATGTTTCAAAAAAATACAGTTGCTAGCCGATCCGACCGCGCTTCGCGTGCGCCCTCGACAGCTAGCTAGGGGACTCGACCTCAGGACCCAAATCACTCGCTTACTTGTTCGATCCAAAAAGGCGGTGCTGAATACGTTGTAATTCCTATCTTCTTTGATGGCCGGGTCCCCGTGTATCGAAGACAATCGATTTTGTATCGAAAAAGTGACCCGGCGTACGGGGTCACACAGGAGTTTCGGAACTCGGGACCTGGAAAATACTAAAAGGTGGCGCCAGCTCTCCCACTTACATTACGACTTTATGTATACTTTAAGATGCCTGTCAGCAGTGTTGCTCTCAAGGCCGATTTTAAAGGATGAAAGTAGGATGGTCGCATCTCGTACCCTCTTGACGTCACATGGTTTCAGGTACATGGGCCGGTCGACTTTTACCTCTTTTAAGAAAGATTTTATCTCTTATGACAAATATATTAGAGTTCCTTTAGTTTGAAAGTTAATGTAATTTTAGGTCATTCTTCAGATCTTCGAGTATTGATTTTTAAAGTATTTATTATTTATTTTACAGATCTTACTCTTCTGATAAAATATTTTTTTAATTTATTAAAAAGTGATTTTTTGAATGGCTAATCATTGAAATGGGTTGACGTCCTTATTCCTTTCAGGAACATTTAAACTGCAATTTTTTCTCTACAAAGCTGCAGTATTTTGCGTGAAATAATTTAATTTAGGAACTTCGGAAACAATTGTTTTAGACAAAATATAGTTCCTCTTTTTTTTCTTTTTCTTTTTTTTTTTGAGTTGATATTCAGCTCTTTCACAAGTTCTTTTATGTCAATTTAACAATAATAATGCAACTGCTGAGAAACAAATTCTAAACCATTTTTTAACCAATTGAAGCTGCCTTGCGCGCGAGATATAAAAAATGGTTTTTACTTTACTATTTTTTTTTCCATTTAGGTAGACTTTAAACTGTCATTTTTACTTTCATAAAATAGGAATATGAGGCCTGAAACTGGGGAGTTCTATAATTGATCTTTTAAAACCAAAAAATAACAGTTTAACGAAATATTAAAAACGAATAAAATTTCATATATTGACACTGTTAATTTTCAATAAAACTACAATTTCACGAGTCGTTCTATTATTAAAAATTAGTTTTTCTATGAATATTTTAAGTTTTTTTTTTAATACTTTACAAGAATAATTCAAAACTCGTATTCAACATTTAAATTTTTTTTTTTTTCTTTTTTTTAGGACAAGTGTCGTTTTACACCAGTAAATTTCCCAAATGAAATTTGTTTTTCACTACTTTAATCATTGTTGATTTATGTCATTAAATTATTTTAAACCGTTATTTTTAACTTCATAAAATAGGAATATAGCGCCTGAAACTGTTGTAACTGGGGAGTACTTTAATCGATCTTTTCAACCGATATAAATTATTTTTTTATAACATATTAATAGGAATTAAAACTCTCATTTAATAGCAATAAAACTGTTATTTCGAAGATATAATAAAAATTATTTTATAGCAGACCTTGCTACCTGCCGGCCGCCGCGCCGCGCCGGTCGCATCAAATTCCTGATTATTCTCCCTATTTTGCAATAAATCGTGAAGCGTGTTGCAAAATTTGATACACCAGTGGGTAATTCTCTGCTATTTCTACTATTTTAGCCCGAAATTTTCGAAAAGTGACCTCTGAAAGACGCCTTGGCAGATATATTTGTTTGAAACCTCACGTTATTTGGTATCGGAATCAATAATGGTTTCCACGAGAAACAGAGTTTCAGTCTTTTGCCGGGCAGGCAGAAATTATGAACCCGGAAAAAATCTCGACTCAGTTCCTCTGCTTTTTTCTTTATTTTATATAACTGTCCTCCCAAATCGTTGTAAATGCAATGAATTTTTGTGAGGAAAGGAATTATCTATAAAAACGGCTAGATTTTGGGAAGAAAAACTGAAATATATCCAAATTTCTTCCTGCCAATTTTTTTATTTCCCTACTGGATTTTTGTACAGAATACATTCAATTTTATTTAGGTGATTACATTGATATAAGTTGTAAAAAATCCTTTTTGGTGCTAGAGGCCTGTTGCACCATTTTTTTTATTGCTTTAATCGAAAGAACTAAGGCTCCTGATATCACAGGAATTTTCCCGGAGTTTTTTGATCACCGGAAACCCCCAAAAAATCAACTTAAAAACGCCTCAATATTTTGATTTCCAAAACGGTCACTTTTATACGCGGTAACGGATCTGCCATACTTGTGACGTGAAATGGTTCGACAGACATGGTCTTTTCATCACTTACAATGTATTTTCCCATAAAAAAAAAGGCAGCCGGGCGGCTGCCGGNCTATCCCTGCTAAAAATGATGAGTAGGTAGGCTATTCAGAATTCGCCGACTCACATGAGTAGAATTTCCTACTTATATGAGTAGAAATCCTACTCATATCACTAGAATATTCTACTCATAAGAGTAGAAAAGTTCAACTCATATGAATTCAATTTTTTTAAGTTTTCAGAGGTGGTGTTCTTGACCAGGACACACCGACATTACATGGCTTTGAAAAATAAGAACATTTTGTTCTTGTAATTTTTTTGATGCGGTGACTAGTTTCTGAGATATCGGACACGGTAGATTCAACGCTGAACTCATGTGAGTTGAAATCTCTAGTCATATGAAATCTCTAGTCATATGAGTCGGCGTAAGTAAATAGAGAAATTCTACTCATATGAGTTAAATTCTATTCATTTAAGTTGAAGTTCTATTCACATGAGTTGAAATTCTATTCATATGACTTTGATTTTCTACCTATACTCATTTGTACTCACCATTTTTAGCAGGAATGATTTTTTGAACAAAATGGTATTCAGAAATGGATTTTTTGAATTGGATAGAGGGTTTTTTGAATGTTTTTAATAACATACTGAACATGATCCTATGCCAATTTAAATTCTTGTCCATCAGAATACCTAGGTATCTCCCTACGTCAACAACTTTAATAGTATCCCCTTTATATTTAAACTCTTCAAAAAAAAAAGCATGTGAAGTGTGAAATTAATAATAAAAGTTTTCTTGAAATTTATGATCAGATTATTGGCATGGAAACATTCAGTTAATTTATCAAGTACATCATAAAGGTAGTCAAAAATACCAGACCCTCTTAATACAATCCCTGTATCGTCTGCATAAATATTAATGTTAGTACCCTTTTGGTTATCTCCGAGAATTGATGGTAGGTCATTTGTGAACAATATGAATAAAAGCGGACCCAACATGGAGCCTTGCGGAACTCCAAAGCGATACCAAAAACACTAGAAAAATATCCTTCATTGTCCTTGATGATTTGTACATTGCTTTCTGCCTTCTAAATATGATTTAATCGGCTGAATTGATTCTTAAGAGAAACCATAAGAGGGAAGTTTATTTATAAAAATTCTGTGATCAACCAAGTCAAAAGCTTTTGTAAGATCTAACTGTAGGCTAATGATGACTTAGTCTGTAGACTTTGAAACATTCCGGGAACGTTTACAATTTCTACGTTGTTGTTAACGTTGAAATTGTTATCTCCCTGGTAAAAGTTGGCAGTAGAATGTGTGTTTCAAAATACCATAGACCTACAGCCGGCTGTAAGATTTCCAATAGCTTCTATAGCCGGCAACACAATTTCTCGTAGCCTTTTTATAGCCGATGGCGATCAAGCAGCAGCCTGGCGATAAAGTGTATGCTAAACATTACTAATTACGGATGCTAGGACTTAGTGAGTTATTGGACTACCGCCCTCTTTTTGGGCCGCAGTATCTTGATTTATTTTGCGAGGAAAGCTCCATACTTTAGAAGGATGCCTATCATTCTTAATATGTTGGAGCGCCTTCAATTTCGTATGATACTGTGCAATACCTCTGGTGTGAAATAGTTGCTTCAGACGCCGTGGCACGCTGCGGCGCGGCGGGCGGGCGGGCAGCCAGCGCTGAACGCGCATTGGCGCCTGCAAACCTAACAGGGATACTCCACGCATTGCGCAATGCGTGAAGTATCCCTGTTAGGTTTGTAGGCGCCAGTGCGCCGCCGCTCCGCTTTGTGTTAGGCTCTAATATTTAATCTCGCGGAGTCAGCGTTTTTCAACTCATGACTTTGAAATGTTTGGACACTCTTAATGGATTATTCTCATTTTAATTGATGAAAAAAAAATATGTAGTGAAGGAAAATATAATGTGCGTTTTGTAAATATTAAGGTGATTCCGTACAAACTTAAGGATTTACAAAGCACAAGAATTTCTACACAATTTCTTATAGTCTTTTACAGCCGATGGCGAAAAAGCAACAGCCAGGCGATGAAGTGGAAAGCCCGGTGATAGGAACTACAGCCCGGCTGTATAATTTTTTATCGCTTCGTGTAGCCCGGCCGTATGATTTTTTCCACTTTCTACAGCCAGATATATGATTTTCTATCGCCCTCTTCAGTCGGCTATAAGAACTCCTATGGTATTTTGAAACGCAGCTCCTATTGCCAATTTTTACCAGGGCTGGGATACAACAATAACTGTTTCTGGTACTTTATAAGTGATGTAGCTTTTGAAACTAAAAACCCTTCAATTTGTCTTTTAACTTGTTTTGTTGAACCCCCTGGACAGGAGCCAAATGATCCACGTGCAACGGTAAAGGCGAAGATCTTATCACTAGAGCGAGACATCTCTAAAAAAGAAGGCAAAGTCGAAGTATTGAAAGCACAACTTGAAGGAATTGATGTAGATGTAGATAAACTCATCGATGAAAATGTTATTCTTAAAATGGAAATGGTAAGTCATAATTTTTATGTATTTTGACCAATCACAGTTTTTGAAAAGCATGAAAAAAAAGTTGACCAGTTCACAATCACTTTTAAGGCGATTCCAAGTGATCTAGGGACAACTTTTATCCGCGCAAAGAGCACCACCAGTCGTATTGCCAGTAAATTGCCTCTTACGTAAAATTCCTGTCGAAAATTTCCAAAATGGGATTCACAACGTGTAGCTAATTTTTTATTTTATTTTTTGACGTATTTTTCGTTGAGATTGGTTCAGTTTCCGAAGTGAAAGTACAATTACAGATTCTGAGGTGAGGAAAAGCGGCCGTGAGGAAGTGACCGCTATGATTGTCACCTGACCATATCTGAATTTGAAGCATATTGTCTTCGGCTCACAGTCCGTCTGTCTCCTGCATCGTAGCAATTTTTTAATTATATGAAAGAACCCGGGACATGGGGTTAACGGCGACTTCTCAGCATCAATTATCCACCTAAAATTGAATCATTTTTATAATTGAATCTCACGTTGGTTTAGTTAACATAACGTATGTGGACTGCACTAAGTATTAAACCTTCTGAGGGCTCAATTCTTTTTTTTTTTTTTTTTTTTTTTTTTTTTTTTTTTTTTATGAAAGAGCTGTGATAGTGATATTTTTGTCGTCACTTTTTTCTAAAAATGAACTATTTAATCTCTATGTGAAATTTTCTCAAAAAAAGTGGTGGTCGTGCGATATGTAATGAAATAGACGTGCTGTGGTGCATGAACGTCTCTTCTTGGAACATGGATATTTTGTAGAATACTAAATTTTCGCCAAAGACAAGTTATTTCATCATCTCACTTGAGGAGTAATTCGAACAAGTATATATGAGTTATTATTTATGAATGTTCTATGTTAGAACCTTGTCAGAGGGATCTTATAGCCAGCCGTTAGAATTTAATATGGCCAGCTATAAGAATACATATGGCCAGCCATATGGATCTTTATAGCCGGCTATAAGAATTCATATGGCTGGCTGTATGCGAAAGTACCGTATAAGCCTTAAAGCCATACAGCCAATTTTTACCAGAGACTTAAGTGGTTCGAATTGTGTTGTGGTGTTCACAATGCAGGGACAGACTCACTATCATTAAGTAATATAAACTTCGAAGGATTCAGACTTTCACTATTCCGCCTTTTTCTATTTCACTCGAGAGGTTGCCAGATTGTGATAAATGTGAATATTTTACATTGATTTGAATTGAGGAAAGTGTTAAAAAAGCAACTTATTTGGCAACAATAGAGTCCAGGAGGAACGAGAGGCTGCCTTCCTGGGAAAACCCATAATTTACATGTAGCTGGAAATGTCATTAAAACAATTGATTCTGTTTGAAGAATCAATTGTATACTATGGGAAGGTTATTTTAAAATAATAATTGTAAATGAACACAGATGCTACAAAGAGGGAAAAAGGAAAGGGAAAGGAAATGAAATTAGGATATGATTACTAATGTGCAATCAGAGAGAATAAAAGAAAAACATCAGAGAAATTTATATGCAATGAAAGTATAAGAAAAAAACACGAGTGGGCTAATTGCGATTCGGAACTTGAACTACGTTGAGCAGTTTTTAGACCCCTACGCCACCGATAATCTTCTTAAGAGGTAAAGATGAACTTTTGCTACTTTAGCAAGTCAAATCGCGGGAGGAGATCCATGGATTGTCTTTTTCCGCCACCCGATTGGATGACGTCCCAGTCAAATGCGTTTTTGAAGAAATGATCGATCCCCATCATCGCTTCATCTCCACACATCTATTCACGTGCAAATGATGGCACGCTCCGGCAACAAGGTTCTGTGACGAAAATTTTTGCCTCCAGAGTCTCCAAAATGCATACATCTTAGTGATCAAACGTCCAATCACTGAGAAAAATGGCTTGCGGAGCGAGCCGAATATCACTCGCTACGCGAGTGATCGGGGGTCCACGGGGCGCAGCCCCTTTGCTGGCCGTGGCGGACGCGCAAAGTGCGTCCAGAACGGCTAGTATATTTATAGGCTTACTGCCAATAATAGATTTTAACATCCAAGGTAGTAGAGAATTATGATGTATTCTAATGGTATGTGGCATGCAATAATCCATGAACGAGAGGCACAATGCGATGGATAGGCTTTTCTAAAGGGCGGGAGATATATTCCCTGTGGGCACGGGGGACACGTAGGGGTGGGCGCGTGGACGTTCCAAAAACGAATGCGCGGTGTCCGTAGTGTGTCCGCCGTTTCTACCAGAGACACTTTTCGTATTTATTGGATTTAACTTTTTACAAATGTTCACAGAGCCAGGCAAATAGATTCCGATGGGCTTGCGCAGTAAGATCCATAATTGAAGAACTAGAGCAGCTGCACAGTGGTGGTGTAAATCTATCAAACGAGGAAGCAAAAGGTTCCAGTCCAAAGGAAAGGAGCAGACTTCAACGTCAGAAGATGTGGGAATGGATATTGGATAATAAAGAAAAGGAATTTCAAATCGGAGATATTCTTGATAATAACAATAAAACAAAATTGTTCGAGTCAAACAAAGACCTAGCAAAAGGAATTTCCTATGCTTACATGTATTTATCGGATAGGATTCATGCATATGCATTTAATAATTATTTTTACCTTGACGATAATGTACCTCTAATAGAAGACAGAGAGGCTAGTAAGGCGATCAAAGTCTTAACTTTCAACAAAGAATTCCCTTATATACCACAGACAGCACAGGCTTAAACGTTGAGTAACGAAGAAATAGGTAAGCTGCCTCCTGAACTGGAATGAGGAAACCGTTATGTTATTGTAAAAATTTAATTTTTTATTTTGTACCCATTAATACTTGATTCGAAAAGACCTAGTTTGTAAGTATGTACTATTTTTCAATTCAAACCTATTGTGTACATTTTGTTTTTAATTAACTATGAAAGGCATTTAATCTTAAAATCCGAATTTAAAGCAATAAAACAATCAAAACGAACAAAGCTTTTTCCTTTTCATCGATGCTTCGACCCTCAAGATTTATTTTCTCTTCATCCCTCATACTTCTCAACCAGTGGGACATGAAGGAAGGTTCTAGAAAATTTAAGAAGCCCACCTGCATTTTTAGAAGTTTCTTTTCCAGATATATAAATTCCTAACCTAAATGTTTACGAGAATTTTTGAATTTTGATTTGTAAACATTAGATTTGGTATGTTGTGATGGTTTTTGCGAGTTAGTATAAATCGTATACACGGTAATTCATATATATATACTGGGTGTCTGATGGGTAAATCGCATACTAGCATCAAATAGTTGGTTGGTGGGTAACGAACATCAAACTGTACTCCTCTTATCATTTGTTATCAACCCAAATCAACCTACCAACAATATAAACTAACCTCATTTCGGAAAAGGCAAAAGGGCAACATAGATAGCAGAATTTGACATTTATCATTTGAAATATCGATATTCTGTGAATATCTTTAACACATCACACCCTCGGACCCTCAAGGATGAAGAGATTACTAGCCAATAAAGTGACTAGGTTGACCCGAGAGCCGTTGATTATTTTTGACGATGGTACCAAGCGACTTTTTGTTATGTTTACAATAGATAATTAAAACTTGAGTACATTTGGTAGTGTGAGGTTATCTGAACAGATTCACAGTTTTTGAGGTATTTAAGAGGAAAGCTAAACCCAACAATGTCACAAAGGCCGCTGCAGTTATCTTTCTATCACCTTCCAGTCTTTCTCTATGCCTTTGACCAGTTGAAGTCAGCAGAAATCGGCTTTTCAGGGTTGTTGGAACCAGGGTTGAACTAATCCGCATTTGAGGGCGTAGACCCTTCGCTGGTTAAAGGGGCATAATGTGATATTGCCTGGTAGGGCATTCCTTACGTGGAGAGGGGTTCAGAAAATTTTGGCAAATCAGCACAAGTTTACGCTATTTTCAGGTTCAAAGTTTATTGATCGCACGGAGTGAAAATTGCAAAATTGAACGTGAAGCACAGCATTGAGAGCTCACGCTTCGCGTCATCGCGCCCAGAGAGTATAGAAGGTTCTATACTCTCTGATCGCGCCTTCAATTTTTCAGATGCAGCACGGACGTCCATCAAGTACGAATAGTTGTATCTCTGCGCCGTCGTAAACACGCATCCTTCCCCTCCCTCTTTTTCCTTATTGTGTTTGTTTCCGTTTGTCTTATTGGTAATGGTGCTTCAAGCACTACGTGAGTAATACAGCCGAAGGTAGGAGAGATGTCTTCAGGCCTTTTTTAAACTTTTCTCCCGAATCAGAGCGACGCTTCATTGACAGCATAAATCAGAGCATTGAGAGCTCACGCCTCGCGTCATCGCGCCTTCAATTTTTCAGATGCAGCACGGACGTCCATCAAGTACGAATAGTTGTATTTCTGCGCCGTCGTTAACGCGCATACTTTCCCTCGCTTTATTACCATATTGTGTTTGTTTGCGTTTGTCTTATTTGTAATGTTGCTTCAAACTAGAGCAGAGCATTGCGAGTTCACGACTCACGGCATCGCGTTTTACATTTTTCATATGCAATGTGGACATCCATTTTGCGCGAATAATTGTATTGCGTTTACATTTTAGATGTCTCTTATTTTTGAATTTCGAGATAAATTACCTAAGATTAAGTTTGCCCGAGCAATGCTATGGTATGTCCTAATCAATAGTAATTTGAAAAGGAGGAAATATGTTTAAAGGTCTCTTAAGAGGTCTATAAAGGATGCGTATGTCTAAAAATCGAACCGACTATCGCTTCTAAGGGCGACATATAGCGAATGAAGGAGGGGGGTGATAAAGCGCCTGTATGTCAAGAAGAAGGTGAAAATTTCACAGAAAATTGTTTACGCTTCAGAAAGTAGTTCGTGGACCTCTGTTCAACACTATCATGCGTTAAAGCAACTTTCTTTACTCCTAACTCTCTCTTCTTCCGTTCATTTAAGAAATTTTTCTCACATATTCTCGGTCGTAATTTTTTTCTTCTTATTTTGCTATCTGTAAGAGGGGCGTTTTCCGGCGCAAAGCAAAATTCGCTTTCCTGCAAGCAAAATTCGACTTTTCCAGCCGCGAAGAACTACAGTGATATCTCATAATCCGGGAGTCACATTCGTAAGGTATAGCAGTAGTAAAGTATGGCAGAAGAGGGCGGCACTTTATTTGGAAGCAATGTTTTCATCGACACTCTGGCGGAATGATGTCACTTATTGCTGTTTTGCCTGAAACTACGTCATTTTTTGTACACTTACGGCTTCCGCATATATCTTGGTTTNTATCAACCCAAATCAACCTACCAACAATATAAACTAACCTCATTTCGGAAAAGGCAAAAGGGCATGTACTCCTCTTACCATTTGTTATCAACCCAAATCAACCTACCAACAATATAAACTAACCTCATTTCGGAAAAGGCAAAAGGGCAACATAGATAACAGAATTTGACATTTATCATTTGAAATATCGATATTCTTGAGAATATCTTTAACACATCACACCCTCGGACCCTCAAGGATGAAGAGATTACTAGCCAATAAGGTGACTAGGTTGACCCGAGAGCCGTTGATTATTTTTGACGATGGTGCCAAGCGACTTTTTGTTATGTTTACAATAGATAATTAAAACTTGAGTACATTTGGTAGTGTAAGGTTATCTGAACAGATTCACAGTTTTTGAGGTATTTAAGAGGAAAGCTAAACCCAACAATGTCACAAAGGCCGCTGCAGTTATCTTTCTATCACCTTCCAGGCTTTCTCTATGCCTTTGACCAGTTGAAGTCAGCAGAAATCGGCTTTTCAGGGTTGTTGGAACCAGGGTTGAACTGACCCGCATCTGAGGGCGTAGACCCTTTGCTGGTTAAAGGGGCACAATGTGATATTTCCTGGTAGGGCATTCCTTACGTGGAGGGGGTTCAGAAAATTTTGGCAAATCAGCACAAGTTTACGCTATTTTCAGGTTCAAAGTTTATTGATCGCACGGAGTAAAAATTGCAAAATTGAACGTGAAGCACAGCATTGAGAGCTCACGCTTCGCGTCATCGTGCCTTCAATTTTTCAGATGCAGCACGGACGTCCATCAAGTACGAATAGTTGTATCTCTGCGCCGTCGTAAACACGCATCCTTTCCCTCCCTCTTTTTCCTTATTGTGTTTGTTTCCGTTTGTCTTATTGGTAATGGTGCTTCAAGCACTACATGAGTAATACAGCCGAAGGTAGGAGAGATGTCTTTGGGCCTTTTTTAAACCTTTCTCCCGAATCAGAGCGACACTTCATTGACAGCATAAAGCAGAGCATTGAGAGCTCACGCCTCGCGTCATCGCGCCTTCAATTTTTCAGATGCAGCACGGACGTCCATCAAGTACGAATAGTTGTATCTCTGCGCCGTCGTTAACGCGCATACTTTCCCTCGCTTTATTACCATATTGTGTTTGTTTGCGTTTGTCTTATTTGTAATGTTGCTTCAAACTAGAGCAGAGCATTGCGAGTTCACGACTCACGGCATCGCGTTTTACATTTTTCATATGCAATGTGGACATCCATCTTGCGCGAATAATTGTATTGCGTTTACATTTTAGATGTCTCTTATTTTTGAATTTCGAGATAAATTACCTAAGGTTAAGTTTGCCCGAGCAATGCTATGGTATGTCCTAATCAATAGTAATTTGAAAAGGAGGAAATATGTTTAAAGGTCTCTTAAGAGGTCTATAAAGGATGCGTATGTCTAAAAATCGAACCGACTATCGCTTCTAAGGGCGACATATAGCGAATGAAGGAGGGGGGTGATAAAGTGCCTGTATGTCAAGAAGAAGGTGAAAATTTCACAGAAAATTGTTTACGCTTCAGAAAGTAGTTCGTGGACCTCTGTTCAACACTATCATGCGTTAAAGCAACTTTCTTTACTCCTAACTCTCTCTTCTTCCGTTCATTTAAGAAATTTTTCTCACATATTCTCGGTCGTAATTTTTTTCTTCTTATTTTGCTATCTGTAAGAGGGGCGTTTTCCGGCGCAAAGCAAAATTCGCTTTCCTGCAAGCAAAATTCGACTTTTCCAGCCGCGAAGAACTACAGTGATATCTCATAATCCGGGAGTCACATTCGTAAGGTATAGCAGTAGTAAAGTATGGCAGAAGAGGGCGGCACTTTATTTGGAAGCAATGTTTTCATCGACACTCTGGCGGAATGATGTCACTTATTGCTGTTTTGCCTGAAACTACGTCATTTTTTGTACACTTACGGCTTCCGCATATATCTTGGTTTAAACAAATAAGATGAATTTTGCTGTTTTAGCTACTTATTTTAGTGATTTTATATAAAATAGATTAGACGAATTTAGAAGGAAACTCGATTTCGAAAATTTTACACATACTGCTCTCTTCGCTGTCATGGCAGTTTTGTCCTTAGTCTCACATCCCATGTTCATGAGAGCAATAATGTCCCTCGTTCGTGACCAATAAAGATCCGCTAGCGCAAGATACTGTCTAGCCGCATGAACAGAACAGATAGGTGGAGCGCCTTCAATTTTTTTTCATGCAACAACCTATAGAGCAATAATAGTTGTATGTGTCAAGGCGTTACTATCAACGTTGCTTTGCCTGAAGCGAATAGGTATACACCCTAAACCCTTGCTAATAGGTAGGTGTATAGTACCTTCTAAATTTAGGGCTGTATCAAGCGTCGAATTTTAATTATATTCTCAATTTCTTTGTTTAGTTCTCGTTTAATGGCACCGACATTTTTCTGGACTGTGCACTGAAAAAAATAATATAGCCGTGGAGACAAGATAAACTTGTTAAACCTGCCTTGTCTCAGGAACAAGACTTTTAGTCTGCCGAACAACTCAGTTTGTTTGGGAAACAACACCCGTTTGTTAATGCAACAAGACCAGTCTTGTTTTATATGCTAGGTTTCTGAGCCACCGGACTCGATAGTCTTGTCACTGTAACAAGATTCTCTACTCACCGCGCGAGTAATGGTCAAATT